TTTTCTAAAATTAGCGAAAGCTTGTTTTGCATGGGCAAGTATGTCTTTTATTTGAAACACATCCTATTGAATTGAAAATAACTGGTTTGCTTTTGATAAAAGAGTTAACAGGGATTTAGTGTCTGTTTGGGTAAAAAGTGAATTTTCTAAATTTTGGATTCGACAAATCTTTTAATTATAATTTCTATTGCTTTTGCAACTAGAATGTTGGCGTAGTAGTCTTGATTGTTGAGACTTGATAATCGTTCATTTTTATCAACATTGAAAGTCGGAACTTCTTACAGAAAATTAAATGTACTACATGCTACGCCTTTAAATGTTGCTCTTAATTCTTCCATAAATTAAAATACAAATTGAGATATTGGTGATTTAATTGTGTCTTGTGGGCATATAAAAAGTCTAAGTATTATGCCGATTTGATGTAATTTTCGTTGACCACGAACGTTAGGTAGATTACCAATAGTTGGTTAATAATATTTAGTATTTTATGTAATTTTTTTGTTATCACCTGATTTTGTGATTTTATTTACTGATTTCTTCTTTACTTTTGGTCACCCATGTCCAGTGTTGCCAAATATCAGACTCGAAAATCCGAAAAATCTCGAAATTGTTTTTTTTTTGAATCCGGAAAAACCCGGATAGATTTTTGAAGGTCAGTTTAAACCTTTTAAAGTACGTCTTACTCGAGCAGATTATGAATACCGATATTCTTTATACCCAGGGACGAGACCGTGGGGGAGTGAGGGTGCGTACCTCCCCTCGCCACTTATAGAAAATTTCCAGTTCTTCCCAGCCAAAATCGTTTTTTTAATAAAAAAGGATTAAAAAATTAAAAAACGGTTAGTTCTGGACACCTACCTGTTTCTCTTCGCCACATCCTTGTTTCCCTGTTTATATCTGCATAATATATTTAAATGAAGAAAAAAACCACACATCAAAAATTATTCACTCAATTCTAACAACTTATCAATTGCACGTTTTGCTGTTAATTTACACGTTGGTTTTACTACAATACTTTCCGTCCCAAGGAATAACTGTCAATAATTCTGGTTTTGACAAGAGAAAATCATAAAATTTTGTATACGAAAATGGTGAATTTAAACGAACTTTTAAATTCAGCTGCAATGGATTCTGTTGACATACGATTTCGTTTGTTATCAAACAGGTATTTCATTGTCGAAAAAACACTTTCGACAAATGCATTACTGCAAGGTATTGGCAATAAAAAATAAATGAATTTGTGTAGATTAGGAGAAAGTGTAGGTTTAAAAAAACTAAAAGCATTATCCATAGATGATCAGATCTTATTTCTTTTGTTTCACTATTTTCTTCTGTCGAATCATCATTATCATTATCTTGATGTTTTTCTTCAACCTCTTTTTTTGACAAGATTTTTTAGAAGACGCTGTTGATATGTTTGAATTTTTTTATCATTAATATGTTAATCAATAAGTAAATTATAATAGAGACTGAAAATATCCAAAATCCGAAATTTTTTCGAAAAATCCAGAAGATCTGACAACATTGCCCATGTCGCAAAATCCTAATCATTTTTGGCGGTAAACCGTGGTATTTGTCAAAACCTGCGATTTACCACGGTTAATTGCATCAATAGGAGCCGGTAACCGGATCGGTAAAACTGCAGTAAATCGCCGATTTTCTGTCGATTTTTATCAAATGGGAATATTATCTAGTTCATCCATAATGAAGGTCTTTCTGCTATTGTCTGCTTGAACATAACAATTCATAAGTGACTAGGTTGTTTATTTATTTTTTTATAGATTTAGGAGTTGGAACGAGTTTTAAACTTTTTGACGAGGTTTGTAAATGTTGTTTGAGTTTATAGTATTTTTGACACGCCAAATGTACTCGCTGTACTATATCTAATTTATGACTTGATTTGCATTGTTTGTATTTTTCTGCTTTCCTTTCAACATGTTTTTTTATTTATATGTATTTTAATTAAATCATCTTTAAATTTTCCATCGTATCTATTTATCCGTTTAAGGTCATCTAGATGTTGCCTTGATATTTGAGTTGCTTGTAAGTACTAATTTTAGACTGAACCTTGAGTTTTGGCTGCAATATTGATATATTTTCATTCTTTTTGTTCAATCTGTGATGGAGTATTTCTGATTTCCTACATAGTTTATTTTCATAATGCTTGATCTTTTAACACTTTTATATCATAGAACTGGAATTCGTTTGGAATTATGTTGCATTGTATGGAAGGAATGTTGAAGAAATTTAAAGTGTCCTTGTCCTTTTGTTCTCTTCTTGTTCACGTTCTTGAAGTTGTGTACAATAGCATAAATTCTCTTTTTGTAGAGGTTTTTGAGCTTTAGCGTTGATAGAAAGATTATGTGATAAGTTTGACATATTTTATACTCTCCCGCAAGTTTAATTAATACTTCATTTTTTTGCAATTTAAGTGACATCTCATCTTTCGAAGAAGACTTTCGAGCTTACATAAAATTTTTACAAATTAATTTTATGTACAAAAATAGAACAAACTATCTATTTCTTTCTTAATCTAATTTGATAGTGATGCTAAAATGAAGGCAGTAATAGTAATGATTAGACAGTTTACATTCGATTCCGTATCACCATCATATTAGACAGAAAAATAAATATAAAACCTGATTTGTTTTATCCTGTTTGATCCGGTTTTTGTATGTATAATTAAATTATTTTTAAAAACTTGATGTGAGTTTGAGAAAGTCTTCTTCGAAAGGAGAAACGTAACTTGAATACCAAATAATTAAAATTTTAATTAAGTTTGTGGAAGAACATAAAATATGTCAAACTAATCAACAACTTTCATATCAAGACCAGAACGATTTCTATGATGTCAATGGTGACAGATGCATAGTTGCCACATATTATCAGAAAAATTCGTCATATTAACACCTGATTATAGTCAACTTCGCCATTTATATAACTTAAAAGATAAGAAAGACGATGGTGATAAACACTAGCCGTTGGTACGTATGTGAATGTAGCAGCAGATTCGTTTTTGTTTTGGGAAAATACTTGTCTAAAGATTTGCGCCAAAAAAGATTTTGTTTGTTCGACTAGATGCAGAAGTGGATTGCTTTTTTAGTAGCATAAGTTGTGGTTCGAATGATGGAATACAAAGCAGGATTATTTTCAAAATGTTTCGTTTCGGATCTTCTTTCAATAACGACTCATCTGCGGAAAATATGGAGTAGAGAAGTAACTATATTGGGAAAACTGTAGAAGCCTTAGAAGGCTAAAATCGAAATTGACGTGACCAGTAGCCAATCAAAAAGAGAAAATGGTGAAAGCACCGCCGAAACAAAATAAGAAATTCGCAATATGAGCGACGGTGTAAAATGGAATCTTGCGAGACTGTCAGCCAACTGATAGAGTAGTTTTGCGAAATGACTAAGAAAATTATGCGGAAAATGGTGGAACTCGTTTCTTGATCAATTGGATGCTGACAAAGTAGTCTTTGACATTGTTACACAAGCCCCTTTCCAACAATAGAGTCAATGCAATGTTGATTTGTGTTCGAATCAACTGAAGCAGTTTATTTAGGAAAATCCATTCTTCTTAATACAATATCCAAAGAATCCCGCCTACGCAAAGGAAAAAGAAGCTAAGATAAAAAGCACAGCGAGAGAGAGAAGGAAGAGAAAAAGAAGAAGAAGGAAGATAACTAATGGTACTCCAACCATATGAAATCAGATTAATATAAAATAATGATGATGGCATGTATCATCTTTTCCAACTACCCAATGACAGACAAAAACTAGAACTAGATAGAATATCAGAGTATTAATGATTTCTAGGGCGAAGAAAATATTTCGCTTGGATATGTACAAAACGATGAAGCGGATAGTCCGTAGAAAAAAAGAAGACGAAGAAAAGAGAAAGAAAAGAAAAGAAAGACATGCGCTGTAACCCGAATGCACTCGCATGCACAGAAACACAAACAATATGAAAGCATCTCGTTAGAGTGCTTTCTAACTGACATAATCCTGATAATAAATGCTTTCATTAGAATTTGCTACAGTAAAGGTCTTCTAATTTAATAGCTTTGGCAAAAGGGTATCGATTGATGTATAATATGAAGTAGCGGTCCATATCGCTCGACTATAACAGGAAACTAACTTCGATAAAATGCTATAATGCTTGCACGGGAATATCATCCTTAAGATATAAATAGCACCATAACTGGTCATCACACATCCTATTAGTCTGATTTAAATAGTAAAGCATTCATGAAACCAAAGGTGACTATTTAGTAAACCAAAATTCGAGGTTTATGGAGATACTGATTTTGTCTTCTAATAAATCTCACCCATTCCTTTAATACAACAAAAGAGAAAATTGTTTAATGCTGAAGAAAAACTAATTTTTCTATGATTGCAAAAGAATGTGCATTACTGTAATCTTGTTCACAATTTAGACACCTCTAACAATATGCTTGTTGATATTTGACATTTTGAAATTTTTTTTTTGTCTAGAACCACTAATCAATATTATTTGACAAAAATTACTTTTTTTAGGAAGGATAACATGTTCAAATACATTAATTGCTTCCTTCGTACGACAATAGTAAGATATGTTGGTTTATTAAAAAAGGTAATATCACTAAATATTGAAGCAATAATTCAAAGTTATAATCGTGATTACTACTTTTTTTTGAATTTTATCTAGTACGAATAAATTTGATAGTTACACATACTTTTTTACCAGAGTTTGTAATTCTCGTTACTTTTACTTGGGAACAATTCAAGATTAAGGTAACTTAGTCTTAATTATCATTCAGCAATATTTGACATTAAAATTTTATTTTTATATGATCATCGAAAATAAAAATAAAAGAATTTTATAGACAAAACCTATGCACTATCTTAGTTACAAATATAAAGACAAACAAAAAAAAAGAATCCAGTACTCGATAGCAAATTATACGTTGTTTTTATCACAGGACAATTTAATACAAAAAAAACACAAAACAACTTTATCATCTAGTCTATGGACGGCGGAATAGATTGATTGATTTGACAAAGTAATGTCGCATCGCAAGCAGATAAATCAAACTCATCTTGTTCATGTGGTTTTATCTAGATATAATACAAAAAGAAACTATACAATAATATTTATTTTGATAAATACATACAATCCATAAACCGAATCCACTTTTTTGAAAGGCTTTATTGATCTGTAAAAAGAAAGTAATGAAAAATGATAATATTAAAAAAATGATACGTACCTCTATTTTAGCTGTTTGATAATTGACTTCTAATTGTTTAGCATCACAATAGATAGTTGGTATTGTATTTGATTTAATCTGTTTCATTAACGTTAACCATTGTTGAAATAAGGCTGCTTTTGATATAAACGATGATTCACCTAATTGGTTTTTCATAGATAAGTGTTATCAGAAAATAAAAACTCTGTCAACATACGAGAAGTTGTTAGACCACTTAAAGTATCAACAATTTCACATTTTTGATCAACACAATTCCATATAAAAGCATGATTCGGTGCTCGAGAAGTAGTTCGCATTTCTGGACTACTAACACCCGATAGGAACGGTCGGCGTAAACCATACGGAGCTGGAATGTTTTTAACTAACTAGAAATACAAAAAATATTTTCAAGAACGCTAATTGAAAGAAAAAAAGATAAAATTTCCTTTCTCGCAATGTTTCTACTCTATTTGTTTTAAATCTTTTTTCAAAAATAGAATTTCTCTAGATTAAACTCTTACATTTTCAATACGAGCAAATAATGCTCTTCGAATATGTTCACTATGATAAAGACTTCCAATAATAATACTTGTATAATAAATTGGTTCGATTAATACACTTAACAAGGCACCTATAATAGAAAGGAAAATTGTCAAATTTCAATCATGTTTTTTCTTTACCTTGTAAACCAATAAAATTCCATCGACATAATTTATCCGAACAAGACATTGTCAAAAGTCGTTCACCGCCTAATATTCCATCCCATGTTTGCATACTTTGATATAAATTTTTCGCCATAACAGGTATAGTTCCTTCACCTGCTTCGACTTTTGTTCTTAATAAACCACGAGATTTTCTTAATGAATGCCTAAATTAAAATCAATCATATTTGATAAAAATAATTTAAAAATAAACATACCCTATTTGTTTATTATTTGGATCTTGATTTGTTGTTGTCGATGATGATTGTTCAGATGCAACTTCTTGTGGTGCAAAAAGTCGACCATCACCACAAGGTGATGTAGAAATATATAAATGAAAAGCTATCGATGATTTAAGTCGAAATCGATCACTATTAGGAATTTTTTCGAAAATTGATTCATGATTGTTTTCCTCAATTAGTAATTTTAATTGTTGATAAAAATAACGAATAAGACAACGACGTGCTATTATTTCGGCATGGCAATCATTTAATGATTGACCATTAAGCGTAAGACGATCACCACTAATACACTTTGTTCCTGTTGTTATACAAATAATTTCCATTGTTTCAAGATCATAATTACGTGTTTGAACAACACCAGCTAAAACTTTTCGTCGTTGAAGACGTACATCATTATGAGTTAATTGATTGAATTTTTCTTGTATACATGCTGCAATACGATCGGCAAGATCACGACGTGAATAAGGTAGATCAGTTGGAAGAGTATCACTTTCTATTGGAATACTACCTACAAAGAAAGATTCGTACTTGATCATTAATTATTGAACTCTTATTCGGATTCAAAATAGAGAAGTAAGGTCAATCATGTCAGATTTTCTTTTATATAGAACCAGGTTTATTGTATACGCAATTATATATACATATATAATAAGATTGATTTTCTTTTTTATGAAACACGATTTATAAGGAGTGTCGAAGTGCAAGGATAAAAATTTGGACCTTCTCCAGTCACAGATCAGAGATCAGAAGGATAGTCTTGTGTTCTTCACCATTCCATGGTTTAGGACTTTCTAAAACAATACTGAAGAAACTAATTAGCACTGGTGAAACACGTTTAGAAAGCAAAACATGAAAGAGACGTACGACGCGCCCATACATGAGCAATGATGTGGGGCAGTGTATGATTGTCTTGTGAGTCTCTATCACAGACCTTATATCCATATTGCCCTTTTATCATATAGGAGCTATTTCGTTATTGCATTTCTGGAGGGCTAAGTAAAAGCATGTTAGAGAAATTTGTCCCAAAATAGATATAATAAAACGATTTCTCTGTGATCAGTAAGAGCAGCTACATCGTGTTTCACGTTTTCATCCCTTAGGGAATCTACTAATAGCTTTTTTGTTAAGATGACAAGTTTTGATGAAAACATATGTTTAAATATTTGAAAAGCTTAATGGATAGTAAAACAAATCAAAATTGTTCTTTTTATTGACATTATTAGGAATATTTATACATATTACACTAATGTTTCAAAAATATCAATCAAAAATTTATTTTAAATTTCTAGAACATAATTAATCCTAATATAAAATTTTGAATTTGAAACATTACAAATTTAAATCCTTTTTTTTCTTTCCATTTGTAAATCTTATTAGTTTTTCAACTTGAAACCTTTCAAATGCAATGCTATTAAATAGAAACAGCAGAAAAACTTAATGACCTTAATAAATAAGTCTGAAAAGGCATTAGAAAATAGATACGATCAGCTTTTATGGAATGAAGGCATGCATATATATATATATATACAAATACAAACTTCTGATAAGTCTATCTCCGAACAAATTGTGATTAAGTTGAACTAACTATAATGTCAATTACATATGAAAGGTCAATGCGGATGTAATCATAAATAATAATAAAAAAATAATTAAACACAAGAGATTGATATTACTTTGACATTAATCAATCGATGCATATTTGATTTCTTACCTTCTTTATCAAAACACATACCAAATAACTTTTCTAATGCCAATTGTGCAGCTCTTGTTTTAGCTATTTTTTTGTTACGTCCTGTACCAATGAAACGTTGACCATCAACAATAACAGCAAATTTAAATTCGCGTTGTTCGCTTGTTGTTGATGATGATGATGATGCTTCATCGGTTATGGCTTCAAATTGTGCATCACGTTTAAGTTGATTAAGAAGATAAAGCGGACTTAAACCACTTTGAATTTCACGTGGTTCTACAAGGTTAGGACTTTGTGTACTTCCTTGAATACTATCATTATTTTCAATCAATAAGGAAGAATTATCATTTGTTACATCAGTATCAGTATTAGTTGTTGTTGTTGTTGCTTCAGATTCGCTAGCTACATCATCAGGTAATTGAAATGGTAAATCAGAAAATGAACGAAGAGCTTTTTCAGCAGCTAAGTTTAGACAAAAAAACTCAGATAATTAAATTTAATTAAATTTATTTGATAAAATGAATATTTACCGGCTTGTTTTGCTTCTTTTTTTGTTTGAGCCATGCCTTCAAATACTTGTCCATTAACTTCAACAGCCATAGTAAATATTGGTCGATGCGATGGACCTGTTTGTGCAACAAGTTTATATTCAACTGAAGGTTTAAGTTCATGTAATAACATCAGTGCATTTTTTGATGATGGCGATGAACTATCGCCATTATTGGTACTGCTATTATTATTATTATTATTATTTGTTGATGATTGATTCGACGAAAACGAAGAAGAATGTGCTGGTGATAGTTTAGATCGTTTTTTAGGCCAAGCTGATTGTTGCGTGTCATGAAGATCATCGCGCATTCTCTTATACCCATGAGATAAAGTCGGCAATGTTTGTTGAAGTGCATTGTGTTCAACTGAAAGCACGCATGATGATGTATCAATTATCAATTTGTTGAAATACATGTAAAACAAAAAACCGTTGCATGCATAAACTTGTCAAAAACTTATCTTCTTATTCTATCTATCACGTAAAAATGCTTCAATTATTATTTATTCATTTCAACATACTGTGAAATTACGCGTTCTGTATTCAATCTCGAAAAATTCAAAGTGACAAGCCTTCGACGGATTGTATGATTCCTCTGTTAACTTGTCAATATTCATTATCGTATTGAAAAGGAATATGCGCCTAAAGGCACATTGTGTAAAACACTTAGCTTTTCCATATTCAAACCGACCAAGATCATGAGTAGAAAAGGAAAGAAGTAAAGAGAAAAGGAAACTTACACTTCGTAGTTGCGCACAAGTTGAATGGATTGCTTAAGAGTGCTGTATTATATAGAGAAATTGTTGGAGGAGATGAAAAATCTGTGGGTACAGGTCCTAGCAGAGTTGTTGTAGTTGCAGTGGTAGTACCCGTTGAAGTTGACAAAGGCATATAAACAACACGTCCGAGTGGAAACATATGCATTTTTGATAGGGACGAACGATGATGTTGATTGAATGTGCCACTGTGTATAGTGTTGTGTGAAAAGCGATAATGTATAGCGTATCGCGTAGATAAGCAAAAATCCGTTTTATTACTGTTCTTTCTCTAGTCGTCGACTGCCTCCGGCGAGTGTCAAACATAGAGAAAGAGAGAGAGAGAGAGAGAGAGAGAGAAGGGGGAGAACGAGAGAAACTTTTCTCCTTTGCTCTTTCTTTTGCTCTCTATCTCACTAACAATTTAATATCTCTGGCTGTTTGTACTTTTTTCTTTTTCTCGTCGCATGAAAAAAAGGCGACGAAGTAGACAAGAGCTGGAAAAAAATGACATTGATCATCATCTTCCAATATTGTATTGACATCGATTGAAGTCAAGCGTATATGACATAGTAAACATTATTGTCTTTTGAAAAATCTTGTTAATCAAGAAGAATGAATTGTAGGCCAGCGGGAGATGAATTTCATCTCTTTTCTTTTCCAACTCATCGAATCTGTCAAGCGTGCCTGTCTATGTCGTTGTATTCTCTATATGATTGATAATCGCTGTTCGTGTATTCTATAAAAGAGATATGTTTTTTTCTCTTTTGCTGTCTCTCTCATTTTCCTTGCAATCGGAAATCAAATGACAAACAGTGAAGAGTAATGAGATGGTTGTGCTTGTAACAGATGCCGTTGTTCCGGCAATAGACTGAAATTGATACTTTTTTCTCTGATTCTTATTGCACGATTTCTGTTGTGCACAGAAAAGGACCCTGATCCATCCCTTCATAATCTACTTATCATCATTAAGTGACTGACGTTTCTGTGTATAGCAACAGTCGATTTTTTTGTATCCACGAAGGACGCTGTCTCTCTTCAACACGCAATATTTTCTATCTAAGATGCATACTAATTAGAATAGAAATCAACGACGATATTTCTTTCTTTTTTTTTTTTTTTTTTTTTTTTTTTCTAGTTTTGTAGTATTTATCAGTTTTCTGTCTGTTTTCTTGAATAAGAAAGAACGACAATTGGAAGCAAACAAACGGCGATGAGAACGAGAAGCTTGACCAACAGCAAATAACTTGTTGATATAGGCCATACTGTTTACTTTACTAAATTACGGCTTGTCGTCTTTTTTTCTGTTTTGCTAGCTTGTGTCAAAAGGTTTCTTTACTTCTCTTTCTTTCCCTCTCGCTCACTCTCTCTCTCTTATTCATTTTTCATTTCAGTCTCAAAACTCGTTTCTTTTTTTCTCTCTCTCTCTCTCTCTCTCTCTTTCTATTTTACTAACCGAAAAATGTTTGCACCACTGCACAAAATGATGTTGGGCACTCGAGTAGGTAGAGTGAACGAGCTGGCAAGAATTTTAAAAGAATAACAAACTCAACAATGATGATGACCGACTATCAAGTGGATGAATTAGTTTATTCGCACCGAACCTCGTCACATTCTAAGGAAGGCATATGACTGGGAGAAAAAGAATATTGTTTGCTTACTTCGGTTGTTATTGACATTAGCAATTGGTGTTGACGTTAGAACAGAGAAATCGGAAAAGAGTTCTTCAGTACCACTATTTTCCTTTTTGGAAGTGTTATTCTGAACATTATCGGAAAAACTAATCATGATTAACTAATCTAAAACATATTGAAAATAATGGTATCATTCACATTTTTCTCGTTAATATTATTTTCTATCATTTATGACATTAGCTACAATAAATACGAATAAATAACGGCCAAGATTATGTCAACAACAATAAGTAAAACGGATTCACACCTCATTTGCTCGTTTACTTCTGTATCGTTTCTCCTTATGTTATCTCAAGAGGCGGCACATGTGGTTCACAAAACAGTTGGACGTAGTATACATAAACATCACGTAATTGTTTAGAATATCATACAGCTGTTAGTAATCTCATTGTCAGCTGTCAACTTTTTCATTTCTATAATTACATAAAAAAAAAGCTATTAGATTTGTTCTTTTATTTTCTTTCGCACTACACTCCGACTGTACAACGAAATAAGCGACATACAATGTTCACATATGAGATAAGAGAAAAAAAACAAAAGATATAATCAGTTTATGTTCAAATTTCAATTGATTAATTGGCCGATTAAAAATAAATAGAAACCATATGGAATATTCATTAACGTAACAAAATTGTCTTCATATCTTTATTCTTTTTGTTTACACTATCGTTAAGCCCTTGGATTTTTGTACCAAGACGATCTGTTAAAGGTTTTTGACCTTCAAGTTCGTCGTTCATTTGTAAAGCAAGTAATTTAAGACGATTAACACCTTGATGTATATCATCTAAAATTTATAAATTAACATATAAGATTTATGAAAATAAATAAATAAAATAAACTTACGAAGTCCATCTTCAGTTTCACGTTCAAGATCATCCATAGCACTACGTGGTTTTCCAAAATAAGTATCAGTATTATGGTTTGGATTTGTTGGTCGTGTCGTTATAGCTGTTGCTGCAGTTTGCTGTGCTGCAGCGGTTTTCTTTTTAGCTGCATTACTTAATTGTGGTTGTGAACTAGATTTAGGAAACGAACTTTTTGGTGGATGAAAATAATTTTTAATTCCACCAAATATTGAATTTAATTTGTTTATATTTTGTTGTGCATTAACAAGATTAGCATCGATACCATCACAACGTTTTTCAATATTTTCTAATTTTTCGCGTTGTTCAACTAGTTCCTTAATAAACAAAAAAAGCAAATGTTTAGAAAATTCATTTCAAAGATTTTATCTCGAATTATTTGCAGAGTTAAATATACATATTGCTAATGTAGACAGACAAAAAAAGAATTACTTTATTACAAACTCATGATAATGACAGATAGAGATATATGAAACATTTCATTAAACTGAAATATAATCTCAAGGAAAGTACCTACACTTAAATAATCATACTAAAATAATAACTTATTACTATCATATTCAGCATATAACATATGGTAACCATTCATCCATGAATATTCTTTTCATCAATTTTTCAAAACACTTATTCTTAATTGTTTTCTTTTGTAAAATTTTTTCTTCAGTTCTCATTATTCTTTAATAACACAAATGAAGATTTCTTGTGACAAAGGCAAATTCTAGCGTTTAATTTAACTCAAGGACATGGCTCTAACGACACCCACGTACCAATTGAACAATCAAATATACATGATCGAATGAAAAAAATTATAAGGAAACAAAAATCATTAAATTGAAAAAATAAAAACTTAATCTTACAGTAGCAGTGTTGACTCCGACAGTTTCAGATTCATTAATCAAACCAAGCATACGGCGAGTTGAATCGAGAATACTTGTTTTCTTCTCATGAATTTGATGTTGGATGGACTGAAGATCATCTTGATTATGGTTGCTCGTAATTGAACTAGCCATTTTTTTTGTACAATGAGATATCACGATAATGAGAGACTACTCTTTTTAAAGCCCAAAAAACAAATGCATGACTTGTAATAAACAACACATGACGTCACTGATTAATTGAAAACCTGAATTGAGTCATTGATAATATCGCTACTATCAACGTTAACAAAAATCAATAGTTTTCTATTTCTAGAAAATAATAGAATAATGCAGAAAATATTAAAATTTTTGATTTGAAAATAAAAATTTATGAAAATAAAAAAAAAATTTTATTCGTTTGTTGGCAGATATAATGATTCATACAAACGAAGAAGTATAAGCATGAATCATTTCTTATCTTTGAAATCAATTTTGCAGTGCTTTTTGTTCTTGTCAGTTTATTATTTAATACGCAATTTCTCATTGACTGAATTCATTCGAAAGATCTGGAAAAAAGTTATTGAAATTTAATCCACCGTTTATAGAACCCGTCGGGTCCAAATTTTTTGGATCCCGACCCGCTTTTTTGAACATTTCTTGGCCCCGTACCCGGTCGTTTAAAAAATTTTCAAAACCGGCCCCGATTAATAGAAAATTATCGGACCCGATTAACATCAAAGTTTTGCACCCGGACCCTACCCGATGGGCTCTAATCGTTTACCACAAAGAATAAAAATCAATGTCTGTAGATATTTTTATGAAATTTACAGAGATTCATTTAGTAATGGATTTAGGATTTTGATTAATGGAAGCGACCTTAGTCAGAAAATGTACTTTCAAGTTTATTCAGAAGTTGTATCAGTACATTATTTAGGCGTTATTTACTAAAGATGACAGTGGCGAAGCCGAAAAAAATTGTAGAGGAGGTTTGGTTCCCATTTGAAGATTAAAAGCAAGTCTATATCAAGAGGCGACACATGTGCTTTTGAAAACAGTTGAACGTCATATACATAAACATCATGCTATTGCTCAGAATACCATACAGCTGTTGATAATCTCATCATCAGCTGTCAACTTTTTCATTCCTATGATTACATTGAAAAAAATATAAGCTATTAAATTTATTTGTGCTTTTATTTTCTCGTTCACTGCACTATGACTGTACAACGAAATAAGAGAGATACAATAATCACGTATTACATGACAGAAAAAAAAACAACAGATATATTCAGTTTATGTTCAAATTTAAATAGATTGATTGGCAGATTAAAAATACATAAAAACCATATGGAATATTGATTAACATAACAAAATTTATTATTAGCCTTTTCTTGACCAGAAGGTCCTAAAAGAACCACGTAACACAATTGTTTTCATATTTTTATTCTTTTTGGTTAAAGTATTATTAAGTGCATCCATTTTCATACCAAGAGGATCCATGAAAGGTTCTTGATTCTGGAGCTCTTCGTTCATTTGTAAAGCAATTAATGTAAGACGGTTAACACCTTGATGTACATTATCTAAAATTTATAAATTAACTTATAAGATTTATTCGTAAAAATCCATAAATCAAATAAATTTACGAAGTCCATCTTCAGTTTCACGTTCAAGATCATCCATAGCACTACGTGGTTTTCCAAAATAAGTATCAGTATCACTGTTTATATTTGTTGGTCGTATTGTTATAGCTATTGCTGTAGTTTGTTGTGGTGTAGATATTTTCTTTTTAGCTACATTAGTTAATTGTGGTCGCGAAATTGGTTTTGGAAAGGAACTTTTCGGTGGATAAAAATAATTTTTAATTCCACCAAATAGTGAACTTAATTTATTTATTAATTTTTGTGCATTAACAAGATTAACATCGATATAATGACAACTTTTTTCACTATTTTCTAAATTTTCTCGTTGTTCAAGTAGTATCTTAAAAACGAGGCAAAAAAAATAAATGTGTGTAGAAAATGCATTTCAAGGGTTTTCTCTCAAATTCTTCAGAGTTAAATGACATATTGCTGATGTAGGCAGAAAAAAGAAAAATTATTTCATCACCAATTCATGATAAGAAGTGAAATATATGAAAAATTTCATGAAAATAAAATATTATCTGAAAGAAAGAACCTATATTTAAAAAATCATACCATAATAGTCACTTACCACGATTTTACAGAGCATATTCCATATGGTAACCATTCATCCATGAATATTGTTTTCATTATTTTTTCAAAACACTCACTCTCGATTTTCTTTTTCTGTAATAAATTTTTTCTACAGGTTTTTAATTAGAGAAATGAAGATGTCTTTTAACAAAGACAAATACTAGCTTTTGATTTAACTCGACCACATTGCTCTTACTACACCCAGACACAAATTGAACAATAAAATAACCATGATCGAATGGAAAATAAGACAAAAACCGAAATCATTAGACTTAAAAAAAAATAAAAACTTATGCTTACAGCAGCAGTGTTTACTCCGACGGCTTCAGATTCTTTAATTAAACCAAGCATACGCTGAGTTGAATCAAGAATACTTGTTTTTTTCTCATGAATTCGACGTTGCATTGATTGAAGATCATCTTGACGATGGTTGCTTGAAATCGAACTACCCATTTTTTAATGATAAGTTATAATGAAAATGAGAAGCAACTCTTTTTAAAGCGCAGAAAAGCACGTCACTGGTAATTGCCAACATATAACACTAGGGACTTATCCCAGGTGACATCGTGCACAATATCGATGCATGTATAAACGAGACGGTCGATCATGCGTACTGAGGCGACATCACACGAACAGACCGTATAATGCCAGCTAAAAAATGTGCGCGCATAAACAGTGACGTGCTCCCTCTTTTTCCTTCCCGATTTGCTCCTTTATACTTCAATAGACACCTTTCTACTAAAAAATGGATTTTGGAGAAAACATGCATTCATTTTTATTTTTCTTTCGTTACAATTACTTCTTTACATAAAGCTCATTAAGTACAATAAATTATTACGAAGAAATAATAATAGATTTGCATAGAAAAAAGTCATGAATACTTTGGCACATTCACATAACAGTTTCACATAAATAAAGATCTTCATGGAAAAATCATACAGAAAAATACTTCAACAGGCTTCTATAAATGAACCAGAAGTTACTAACAAAAAAAGCGTAGCGTTCCAACAAAAAACAAAATTCCTTGAGTATGTACAATTCATTTACAAACACAAAAAGTTTGAAATCTAATTTCATTACATTCTATTTGAGAAAATACTGAACTACATGAACAGGAGAAAAAATGTTTCATTTACTACTCTTCTTACAGTTCAATACTTCTACTATACTAACATAAATATTATAACAACGAAACATAAAAACACAAAGTTCAACAAATTTCATCATCGTTGGAACGGTATCTCTATTATGTTCAAACGATGATACAATTATTCAACAATATTTTTTGTGTTCTTCGTATAATTGTGACTATAGCACAAAAAACCTGACAGATAATATAATAATTTATATAGCATTGCCTCTGTTATGTCGAAGTAATGTAAAAATGATTGAACTTTATATTCTTTAATTTAATTCTCAGTATATTTGTGATTTAGATCGTAATGATTGTGTCTAAATAAAAAAAAACACTTTATTATTTGTTATGTTCATACGTGGTGAACTAACAAGTACACATAAATAATAATTGTTCTCGAAAAGAATAAATATTGACGAAACAAAAATCAACTATTGATAGTGATTGTCAATTTCTTCTTGACTGCTTATTTAATCAGTTATTTGAATAGAAATTGAATCAGTTGCTCAAATTGTTTGATCAATATCAAGTCTAAAAGAAAAAATTTTAAAATGCTAGAAAAACAAAAATAACATAGGAAGGAGAAGAAGGATATATTCAAGAAAAGTTATTAAATCGAAAAATAAATTTTGTAAATTTAAAATTGTTTTAAATTTAAATTCGATTTAGATAAATTTAAGTTATTAAAATTTAATTAAGTTTAAAAGTTGGTGTAAATCCAATTTAACAGCCACACTATTTTAATTTTCGTCAGATGAAGATAATTTACGACTCATACTTCACAGAACAACAACATTAGAATGAGCCACATTTTATTCGTATTAATTAGTAAAATAGTTAATTTTTGAGTTTTTTCGTTACTTTTACATAATAAACGTAGTTCTCCAGCAATGTTTTTCTGTTGTTTAACAAAAGATGCCATCATATTGACCAAATCATCCTTTTTTCTCATTTTCACTTATTGCTTTACACTGCAGACAAAAATATACGATAATGATCATTTGCTGATATGAGATTAGAATTCGATTGAATTGCACCAGTGCACGTTTCATCTTCTGTATCAAGCAAATTAATAAGGAATATCAAAACCCATATAAATTCCTTAAATGTGGAAGATCTATATAAAAAATAATATATTCAAAATTCATTTGTTGATGACCTTTCAGCAAACTACGAGAAGAAGGTCTCAAATAATTGTATATAAAAAGAAACTATGAAAAAAAAAGCTTTCAATATGACAAGATATATTGAATAGTCGACAACTATTTTAGTTTATTTCAATATAGTGTATTTAAAAAACCACATATCTCTGTCAAAGATAGCTTCGTTCCTGCCATTCCTGTCGCTACTATCAATATTAATAAAAATTAATAGATTTATACTTGTAGACAATAATAGAATAGTACGCAATTATTAAAATTCTAATTTTAAAAGAAAATTTAAGAAAGTATTTTTAAAATTTTGTTCGTTTGTTGTTCAGTATGATGATTCATAAAAACAAAGTAGTATAAGCATGAATCATTTCTTATCTTGCAAATCAATTTTACTTCGTGTTTTATCCTTCGTTCTTTATTACTCAATATTACATTTCCCATCGACTCAATTGATTGGAAAGATCAAAAAAAAAACTGTTATAATTTAATCTATAATTTACCACTCACGAGGGAACGTTCCCAAGTGATTAAAAGCTTTTGAGCTCTTATGTTGCCCATTAGGTAGAGGACCACTAGATTAGAGAAACCTCCAAAGAATTCGTGCCCATATTGAGATTTGACAGCGATATCGAATTTTTAGTGGATTTTTCCTGCTGGACCCTAGTTCTACAGCAAAATCATGTTTTCGAATTTCGATCTGAAACTTTGCCCCAATGAAGGCCTCGATCAGAGAAGCTTGTATAAAAAATTTCAGAATTTTGGACATTGCATCTTCAAGGTATNAAAGTTCAGCTCAAAAATTATGCGGATATAAGTTTAGAGTAGTTGTATTTTTAAGTTTTCTTCGCGACGGTAACTGCTAGCAAGAATCTGAAAAAAATGTTTGTGTAGCTAAAAAGATTCTCTATTCGGATTGAAGGCCAGAAGAATTCAACAAAATTGCTTGGATGAGTGCTTGCCGAAAATCAAAACTCTTAAAATCTACTTTCTGACTTCCATTCAAAGCTTTTGGGAAAAGATTTTATATGATAGAGCAAAATGAGACGTCTCTGACCTTTCCTCGTCGAACTCCATTCAATTTACAAAATGTCTCACAGCGTAATATATGATAAAAACATTTAAACTTTCAATAGAAAGAAGAGAAAAATACTTCTTGGCTTTTTCTGTAAATTGAACAAAGGTCAGAAACATCCAATTATGTTCAGAATCATTTCTTTTATCAAATAAAATCTCTTTCTAAAAGCTTCGTATGAAAACCAAAAAGCAGATTTGTGGATCTTAATTGTCCGCAGACTCTCATTCAAGCAGTTTTGCTGAACTCTTCATATCTACCAACCCTGACAGAGAATCCTTTTAGAATGTTATCAGTATGATAAAACCAAAAAAACTGCATTTAGTTATCAACCATTATTTTCTTTATCTTTACACGAATAGATCATAAAAATGTAAATAGGTAGATTTTGTTGAAAAATGTTACCCACTTATTCTAATAACTTTCTACAGTAGTTAAAAAGCACTTGTGTCTTTTTTTTGCTTTATCTTACTTTATGGCACGGATATTCATGTTGATCGACAATAATAGTTATATCACATAATTGTCTACTCAAACGAAGATCATTAAGAATTTCCAAAAGTGAATCTGAATGTCCATGTTCATAATGTGCAAAAACAGCACCTGGATTATTTGAATTATTATTATTTATATCCGAAGCAGGTACAATAGGAGTTGTAATTATAGGATAATGTGTAGCCATTTTAAAACGAGCAGCATTATTAAATCGTTTTGTCGTGTGATGACCACGAGTAAATGGTGTCATAGATGATGATGATGAAGACATAATTTTACATCGATAAATGCCTATCTAAAAAAAAGGGGGGAAATATTGGGCATTTAATATTTTTGACAAATATCATAAAGTTTATTTATTAATGCTTTATCTCTCATAAATGGATCCTCTTGCATTCTACAATCACGAAAATATTTTCCTGTTATATGTGCAACATCATTTGATATAGCTAAATAAACAGGTGTTTGTGCACTTTGTTCAGGTGTTTCATGACCACCAAAACCCATTGAATTACTTAATTTTGTATTTGAATCACCTGGGTGACAAACATTAACTGTTATACCATCATGAAGATATTTTTCAGCATATGCTAATGTTAACATTCTATTTGCTTGTTTAGCTTGTCGATAAGCATCATCAGTTGTATATCGTCGTTTTTTAAATTCAAGATCATCTATATCAAGACCACCAGCCCAATAACTTGCAACATTAACAATACGTGCATGAGGTGCACATTTTTTAAGATTATTTTCAAATGCATTTGTCATCCAAACATAACCTAAAACATTAGTTGCAAATTGTAGCTCAATACCATGTTTAGTAACTTCACGTCTTTGTGGTCCAGTTGCATGATTATTAATTAAAACATCAATTGGTTGATCTTTTAATTGTAATGCAAAATTTTCAATTGATTCTTTTAATGAAAAATCAACAACATAACCTTGAATTGAATTATTATGTGTTGTTGATTTAATTTCTTCAACAGCTGATAATAATTCATTTTCATTTCGTCCAGCTAATATTATTTGATTATTAAGATCTTTTGCTAAAATTTTACATATAGCTTTTCCAATACCACCATAAGCACCAGTTACAATAATGGTCTTTTTCGCCATATATGATAGAACAAAATGAAGAATATAATAATCATAGGAGAGATTCAATACTCAATCAATGAAAGATAGATGTCAGTTTAAAAAACTTTTTATTGGTTCAAAAGAACACATATTATTTGTTTATTTATTCTGTCCTTGTATATAGAAAAAAGTTTTTTTTTCTTTGACTTAATTGATTACTCGTCAATAAGAATTACAAAACAAATTATTATCGAACAAGTTTATCATGAAATTTAAACATACATCTTTAATATTAATATGTATTATGATGAAAAGATTTCGATATCGATTTGATCATATTATCTATCGATAGTTTTTTTTGAAAAACCAACAGTGAGAAATACAAAAAGAAAAGAAATAGATTCTTTTCGTATATAAGTTTTTTATTGTTATTGTCGAATTCTTTTGGTCTATATATTTTTTTGTTTCGTTTTTCTGTCTTCCTCATATGTGAGTCAATATGAAGAGTAATGGTAGTTCTACAACATTTACTGTTCATGATCGTCTTGGAGCAGCTATTGCACCAAATACAAATTCAAATATACCAACAAATCCAACACCATCACCACAGCCAACAACAACAACTTGTTCAATTAATTTATCAACATCGAATTGTCAACAAATAATAACAACAAATACAAATTTAATGCCAGCTGGAAGTTTATCATCAGCAACAGCAGCTTCGTGTACAGTGGCAACATCAACAGGAACAAATCAACATCAAGATTTAGTTAATCTATTTGAATGTCCAGTTTGTTTTGATTATGCATTACCACCTATACTTCAATGTCAATCGGGACATATTGTTTGTTCACAATGTCGACAAAAACTTTCATCATGTCCAACATGTCGTGGACCGTTAGCTAATATAAGAAATTTGGGTATGGAAAAAGTTGCTGATACTATTTTATTTCCTTGTAAATATCAAACAAATGGATGTTTATTGAGTTTAACTCATAAACATAAATTAGAACATGAAGATAGTTGTGATTTTCGTCCAGTAAATATTTCAATTATTCTTATTCATAGATTTTTGATTAATTTAATTTCTTTTTTTTTTCTTCATAGTATATGTGCCCATGCCCAGGTGCATCATGTAAATGGCAAGGCAGTCTTGAAAATGTTATGCAACATCTTTGGCTTGCACATAAATCAATAACAACTTTACAAGGAGAAGATATTGTGTTTTTAGCTACAGATATTACTTTACCTGGAGCTGTTGATTGGGTAAATTAAATAACAAGATTTAATCTTGTCTTTTTTTTATGAATAAAAATGAAGATGAAATTCTTGAAGAGTTTTGTCTAGACAATCGAGACCAGCAAACTTGGTCTCGCACATTACTAATGATGAAATTGCAAACAAGCAAAAAAAAGTTAACATTTTTAGAAGGACATGAGTTTTTTTAATTAAACATAAAACTCGATCAAGACAGTTAATTTGATGATTCTTCACATATAGAATTATTAGAAGAAAGGAGCCGACGTGTACTGACTAACATCATGATGTAAACAAAGATCAAAGAAGACCGGCAGCATGAAAGAGTCAGAGCAGAAAAGAGTGTAATTTGGAAAATTGGACAAAGGTGTTAGCCAACGTATCGGAGTTCGGAGGTAGTCGAAATTGAGTGAACGTACTATAGAGTCCATTGTGTTCAAAACTTTGGCACTTCGTCTAACTGTATTTTGATATTCTCAATGAAATTTTCTAGTCGGAATAGGATAGTCGTTCCGAAGATAGGCGATATTTTTTTCTAGTTTTTTGTATTCAGTGACTAGCGTACCCTAAAAACACTTCTCAGACGGCTAGAGTCGATCGGATTCGAGACCAACGCGATAGGCTCTAAGGTATTGTTAGTTTTATTTTGTGTGAGAAGAAATACGCAAAACTATTATCGATTTTCACATAATAGTCAGATTTTGAGACGAGTTAATAAATTTATTCAAAGGTCAAAACCATTTGCTACGTAGGGAACATCAGTTTAGATTGCTAAAAAACCTCACACCCACTCAAAGTATGACTATCGGTTTTTTTATACCTTGACTTAATGATTTTTTTTCCATAATTTCTATTTCATAAATGAAAATCTTAGTCATTAGAAATTTCGAGAAACGTATAGCCCAAGCCTTCCAAAATTCAAGAAAGAAGTAATTTACAAACTCCTATAATTTGGAGACAATACAGTTCTGATAGTGTACCCAAAATGAGACAAAATCTTTCTAAATAAAAGACTGCTACTATTAAAATATTAAAAACAGTAGATGGTAATCTCCTATTCTATTGCACTACTACCTTCTAGGTTGATGATCTGATTCCATTCGTTGACAAGCTGTTGTTTTTCTTCATTGACGATTATTAGAAAGCTTTCATCAGTTGACAATAAAATCATTCTAAGCGTGATTATTAAAGATCTAGAACAAAAAAACAATCAAGATCTTAAAAACTAATCCTCGACCTTTTTTCTTATACATAGACCATAACCTATCCGCTACGTCCTTTCCTTCTATCTCTGTATGCTATATCTTATCTTTCAACTCTTACTATCATCTCATACTTAACATATTCCATAGGACAAATTAATTAAGATCCGCAAGACTTTTCATTTATAATGAATAATAAAAAGCAACATTATTGTTGAAATGAATAAAGGTTAAAAATAATTTGTTCTTTTTTTATTATAGGTTATGATGCAATCATGTTTTGGACATCATTTTATGCTTGTATTAGAAAAACAAGATCAACAATTTTTTGCTATTGTACAATTAATTGGTACACGACAACAAGCAGAAAAATTTGTTTATCGATTAGAATTAAATGGTAATAAACGACGATTAACATGGGAAAGTACGCCAAAATCTATTCATGAAGGTATACAACAAGCAATTGTCATTAGTGATTGTCTTGTATTTGATGGAGCAACGGCATTATTATTTAGTGAAAATGGAAACTTAGCTATTAATGTAACTGTGTCTCTCGGTTGATTTACTCTTCGTTATAAATATGATTGTATCTACGTGCATTTTCTTTTTGTCGTTGTTCGAATTTTATTATGCTTCTTGATCGTTCTTTTTTTTCTTTTTTGTTTTCTTTCGTTTTTGTTTTCTAACCAAGAATACTTTTTTTTTTCTTTTGGTTGATAAATATTATTTTTTGTTTGTTTCATACATCAACATGTGAGTTGCAAAGGATATTTATTTGTTTTCCTTGTACTAATCGCTGGCAAATGATTAATTTCTTTTTTTTCCTGATATATGAATTCATATTTCAAGGATAGAGTATGTTGATAAGTGGCAAAAGATTCGATTTATTTTAGTTAGTTATTAATTTCAACTTAGAATAACCTTATCTTCATACACGTGACATTGATCAATTATCACATCAAATGATCTTATAAAGGACCAACTTTCACCATTCAAGACATGATATTGACAGACATGGCAGCGCTCCAATTGAGACTATATATATGTCCTTAAGATTCTGAGTTCGTCCTCTTTGCGTTTGTCTTTAATTAACTACATTTAATATTCAATTGTCGGCTTAAGGGTATGTTTCCATTTTCTGGAATTTCTAGAGAATGGCTTATCAGAAAATTTTTTACAGGCATTACACACTGTTTGAAGTATGTATCCTTTCACTTTGTGTCCTTCGAATAAAAAAGCCTAAATACCGGAGATATCCTTAAGAAACGCATATTTTTTTAAATAGAGCTGTTCTTTATAGGAGTTACCGAAAATTAGCAGAATAATAAAAAAAAATAGCCATCTCAAACAGTTTATAGTTTATCTGAAAAAAGTTTCAGCTCAATTGAGTGTATTACTGAAGAAATGAGTGTTTCTACAGGTTTTGTTAATTTGATAGATAGATACTACTTCAGACTATATGAATGACCACAAAAACAAAAAAGGAAAATGGGGAAAATATCTTCAATTTTCTTATCAATACATGATAGATGCATGTGGGTATATAGAAGACCTATCAACTTATCTGCACCCGTCGTACCCTTCAGTATTTAACCTTCATCTTATGAATGCTATGGACTTGTTATCAAACGTACAGAATGTGTAGAAATAAAACATACTGATAAGGAATCTTTTTTTTTCATGTTCTGTTGCTCGTATTTATTTTAGTGAAGTAAATGTTAAATTATCATTTAGTTAAATTTAATAAATAACTGAATATTAATTCTACAAGTTAAAAATGATTTGCGGAAAGAAACAAATATAAATTGTTGTCTATCTATTAAATATGACATTCTAATGTTCGTTTCTTTATAATAAAAACTTGATTTTGATGGCTAGCTATTCAAAACAAAAATACAGGATGTTCCAAAAGTTTGAACGAAAAAAAACAACCTGAATATCTCAATAATTCAAGAGATTTAAATACTCTTTTTACAGTTTGATCAAATATTCATTAAAGTTTAATTCAATATTTTTCAGATAAAATGGCTATATCTAAAAGCAAAAAGTCAGAATTAAAATAGTTTTACTCATGGTCAAATTCTAGTCAACTACCATTGTAAAAACGAAATCTATAAGTCGAATTCGACAAATACACACTGAATGAATCCTGTATTAGAATTACATTTCAGTAAGTGCTACCGAAAATCGATGACAACGATTCTGGATGTTGAGTTTGTAAACACTCAAATTGGGTGGAAATGCATGCAGTTTTGCAGTTTTCATTAAAAAAAAGAAGCTATCGTGGTGACTGTAGCGCCGTTATGAAAATTTCTGCAATGCTGACTCATTCAAATTTGATCATGAGTAAAATTATTTTAATTCTGACATTTTTTAGGGTGCAGAAATTTTATCTGAAATATATGGAATAAAACTTTCATGACTACGTGATCAAATTGCATAAAACATATTTAAATTCCTCGAATTACTGAAGAGCTATTCATGTTTTTTTTCTTTTTTATTTAGACTTTTGGAACACCCTGTAATGCAACAAACGTTGTGTAATTTCTTAATTCTAAAGTTAAAATTAAGACTTAGATGATCATATTATTGTTTGATCAATATAAAAAATGAAATGTTCATTTTTCTTTAAGATATAATGATGAAAAAAATCTTTTGCCGATGTTCATGTTTCTTTAATGATAATATTTATCTACAACAAGTTGGTGCTCATGTACATTATATAAGTGATGAACAATTTCGAGAAGATTATCAAGATGTACGCCACATTGATTTTTTGATTTCTGTTATGACACATTGAAATTCTTTTAGCTTGTATCACCAGAAAATAGTATTGAACAATTATTAAGTTTAGTATATCAAGAAATTGATCGTCGACAAAATCTTGATGTCGAAGCATGTCAACGTAAAGATCAAATTAGTAGAGAATATCAACCATTATATCCTGAACTTTATAAATTTCAAGTAGAGAAAATTTAGAAATTGAATTTTGTTTTTCTCTTTTGTAATATTTTTTTTCTAGTCAAAATTTTTATCGGAAAAATTTAAAGAATTATGTTTACAACCAAAATCTTCGTATGAGTATCTTATCAAATTGGGTAGTAAGTATATTAAATTAATATATTATGTAATTTTTATTTCACTTATTTATTTAAATTATAGATGGAATTTATTCAATGCCCGTATTTACAAAAGAATTTTGTACACAATTTCTTGCAGAATTAAAAAATTTTGAAGCATCACGAATGCCAAAAGGAAGACCAAACACTATGAATAACTATGGCGTATAAAACTTTAAAGAATATTTAGATAAATATTCTATCAATCTATTTTTTTAGATTCTTTTAGATGAATTAGGATTTACAAGTTTTATTGATGAATTACGTAATCAATATTTAAATCCTCTTGTTCGAGCATTATTCGGTGATGCATATGTCGGCAGTACAGGACTTGATTCTCATAGAGCATTTGTTGTTTCATATAAAATTGGTCAAGATATTGATCTTGGTTGTCATTATGATAACTCAGAAATTACACTTAATGTATCACTTAGTGAGTTAACAAATTTTTTTTGTGAATGAAAGAAAACTTTATTTATGAAATTTCTTTTAAAGACGACCAATTCGAAGGTGGTGATCTTTTTTTTGGTACCATGGCTAAACCTCATCGTACCGTGTTTTCAAATTTTACATGTAAGAAAAATAAAAAGCACATTTACATTAAATAAAGTCGATAAAAACTGATTATAGTTTTTTTAAATTTGTTTCATTCTTTTGTTTAGTTGTCGAACACAAGCCTACTATTGGAATTCTACACCGTGGTCAACATCTTCATGGTTCTGAGCCAATAAAATCTGGTGAAAGATATAATCTTATTATATGGATGCGTTCTTCTTCAATACGTAATCAACTTTGTCCTATGTGTTGGAAAAAACCTGAATGTCTTATACCCGTTGATTCAAACAACTATGGTGATGGAATGATAAAATCAATAGAAGGCAACTAGTATGAAATTGATCTAACCAAATTGTAGACACATATGTTAAGCGAAAAAAAAAGAGGAAGAAAGAAAATGGATCCTATAATGTTTCATTTGACAAATGGTATATTGATTCAATGTGACATATTGTCAAGATTAATTTTCTTCTTCTTTTTTTTTTCTTCTCTTGATCAAGTCAACGACATTACATTCCGTTTTCTTCTTTTTCCTCGTTCGCTGCTTTTCTTTTTTTTATCGATATACATTTAACTTGAGATTCGTTTGATGTATATATGTGAAGAAATTTTATCGATAATGATATTGAAATTGAGCTTGCTGTGTCATTGAAATCTGAGTTGGCATCATTTTCAATTGACGCAATCATACTAGCGTATGTAATCGATCTCTTTCCGCTTGCATGTCTGTCAGAAAAAAAAAAGAAATATCTTTTTGATTACCTTTAACACCTAACTTTAGTCTATATCACACAATCTTTCTATGATAAATACTTAGAGATAATTATTGAGAAAGAAATTAAACAGTAACCAGAGATATTCATAAGCTTTCATCTTGTTCGCTTCTTTTTTTTTTTTTTTTATTCTTTGTTTACTAAAATTGATTTTCTTTATGGGCTATTAAACGAAATACATACACAACAGACAGACAAAAAAAAGAAAAATGTTATTGTTTACAATATAAAACGAGTGTGAAACGATTGTACGTGATGGGATGTTTATTCATTAAATAAACATCTAACAAGAACAAAAAAGGAAAAGAGAATAGAATATCTCATGTAATTACTGCATTTGTTTTTTGATCTTTATAACCTATCGAGACAATGACTATTAATGAGCATTTCACGAGTTAAACGCCAACATTGTTTAGCAGCATTATCAAGTGATTGTATTGATTTGCCTTTAAATAAATCAACATTTGGCAAAAAATAATGTGGACATTTTCGACATTGTAAACATGATATTAATTGTAATAATATTCCATTAAGACGATCACCTAATGTTATATCATCACACCATTCATGTTCATTTGGATGTTTTTCACATTCATATAAAACTAAAGATTTTAAGACATAATTTGTTATTGATGTTGAATCAAAATTACGATCACGTAATGTTTTTAATATTGATAGACATTTACGTCTTGTACCATCTTGTAAAAGACGATCTTCAGCTTCAGTAAATGACATAATCCATGCATCACCTTCAGAATTAGCTTGTTTATCTTTCATATAAATTGATTCTTTTGATAAAATATTAAAACCTTCATTTTTAACATCATTTATTTGATTTGGATTTGGCCAAATAGAAAATTGTGTTGGAGAAAATGGCCAATGTGCAGCTGAACGTGGCCATAAACCAGCACAACGAAATGCTGGTACAATATGTACAATATATTTTTCACGTATACGAATACGTACTTCGGATGTATCAGTTAATAATTTAACATAATCACGACAAGCACATTTTTCACATGCTTGAGCAACAAGTGCTTGAAAACGTGAACGTATTTTACGTGCTGATAAATAACCACTAGCTGTTATAAATTCAACCCAAAGTGACATTGAACGTTTACGACCATCAGATAATTTAAGTACAGCACAACCTGGTATTGTACCATCATCAACAAAATTAAATACACCCATTTGATTTAAATAAAGAACAACCTAAATATATCAAAAATGTTGTTTGTCTAAGAATATTAATCATTTATTTTTTTAAGAATGATTGATCTCTTTATGCATCATTAATATCTAAATAAGCCATAGTAGTGACAGAGCCAGAGGGAGATGACCGAACTTCCTACAGAAAAGTGATGTTCTTATAGTGTAAGAGAAGAATATATACCTTGATTCCGGCTTCAAACAAGGGTTAGCAAGGAGAACGTCTCCAGGTGTCAAACTACCTTTCGATTGAGATAATGTTCATTTGACAAGTAATAGGAAAGTCTACAATGGTTTGATTTTCTGGACCTTCGCTCTTAAGATATCGAAAATTCTACTGGATTTTTTTGTCTTCTTCAGGTAACATGGAAAACCCGACTTACGACTTCAAATTTTACATGAGCGAAGTTCTTAATAAGACTAGTTCATTTGGCAAATTGTAACTTTTCTAGTATCTTCATTCAATATTCGAAACCTTCTTATGTGTAAAAGCAAATTTTGTTTCATATATTTACAGAATAGATAAGCTAAAATTTGCTCAATTTAACTAATTTTATTATGAACTTTGTTCATACAAAATTTAGAAACTAGACGAAAAACTCAGTAAAATTTTCGATATCTTAAGAACAAAGATCTGTAAAACCAAACCATTCTAAACTTTTCTATTTCTAATCTATAACTTTTTTCTCAACATAACATGATGAGTATTTCATCTTCTTACCTCGAATTCTGTATGTGATACAGCAGTAAAACCTTCAAAACGTCCATTAAGTTCATTAAGTGATGAAATAAATCTTGGTTCTTGTGCTTCAACTTCGCGTAATACTTCAGTAACAACTTTTGATACTTCTCGTATAGCTTTATAAATTGAATTTTTTCTTGGAATTACTTTTTCAACAAAATATTTATTAAGTTGAAGAGCAAAATTATTTGATGGACATAACATAATTAGAAACTTTTTTTTTCTTTTTTAAAAAATTTTCTCGTTCACTATTCAATCATCATGATAGTAGGTGGAAAAGACGTATCTGCTTCATCTTTCGAATTATTCTTCTTTCACTGTTTCTCTCTCCCTCTCTCCCTCTCTCACATATTACACTCTTGCCTTTTCTCCCAAGTGACCAATCAGATAACTTGTCGTTTCTACCAATAGAAAAAATCCGTGCAAATGTCATCAACAAAAATAGAATCAATTCTTTTCTCATTATAGACATTAAAGAATACTATATAATCAATTCGTTAAAAAAAACTAAACTTGTTTCTTGTGTAAGTCATGCAATAACAACGAGTTTATTGCATGCTTTATTTTGACTATTCCATTTAAAAATTACCATATTGATCTCATCATTCAGTCATCGTCGAGACAAAAAGATAAGATTTTTTTGTCTCATCCATCAACATATTAATAATAACAACAACAAGAAAAAATACATCTCCCAAATGTATTATCATTCTTCAAAAATTATTACATGCAACAAAATCATTCAAACTGAAGAGAGAGAGGGAAAAAAATGACATCGCGTACTATTGAGAAATCGTTCGTGCAGTACATGAAATACAAATAGAAAATAGTTAGAAACATACATGCATTTGAAGAGAAAAAAAAACTGTGCAAATTTGATAATTCGAAAGTCATTCTTGACGATAAAAAGTAAAGTAAATATAGAGAGTCATCATCGTTTATTTTGTTTTCCCCATTCCCAAAAAAAAACAGTTCCCTCTACGAAAATCCGGTTAATTTTAATAGCAATCGTTTCATGAGCGACCTGTATCATCGATTCGCTTGATCCTAACGATCTTAGAACATCCCTGAAGATAGATGTTCAATTAACTTTGTTGTTTTTCTTTTGATTATAAATAAAATCTTCAGTCAAGGGCAAAGAGTAAAAAATCTTGTTGATTCTGAAGACATTGATTGATGATGATTGTATTGCTTACTAGAATGTATATATATAGATAAACATATATAGAGAAAAATCATCATCTGAAAAAGCAGAGAACAACTTCTTCCTATTAAATCCAAGAATCGTGGCAAGAGAAAAATGAAGGTGTAATGCATATTCATAGATATTTTTCATTCAATCAGCTGAAATAATCGTTTCCTCTCTCTCTCTTCTCACTATACGTAGTCCATTCAATAGAGAGAGATTATATCAGTATACTTATACACTTCACTTGATTGACACGATCGGATAGACGACAAAGTATGATAGGCTAAAATAGACAATAGAATGAACTAGTACTAGTCTTGCTTGCTTGCTAAATGAACCGCATATTGACACGAACAAATGACTTCAGGGTGTCGAATGTATAAAATGCAGTGTTTCACAGATAAGAAATTGAACAAAACAAAAACTGAAGACATACGAAAATGAGCTGATATGTTTCTGATTAGATAAAGAGAAATATATTAAAGAATTATTTCTATTTTATAAAAAAAAATAAAATAAAAAACGAGATTTGTTAAGGCTAAAATAATTCTACTGAAAACGTATGATCTTCATTAATTATCTTTTTTTTTTTCTTGACATCATTGAAACTAATCGTAATGACAAGTCATAGAAAATTGACGTGAATCTGTTCATATGTATAACAAACTATAGACGACTGCATTCTGTCTCTTTCTCTTTGTGAACACATTATATTGTCTGAATTCATTAATGAATAGAATTTAATTATGTTAGACAGTAATATTAAGTTTAAAATCGAAATTCAGTTTGAAACAAGAAGATTCGTAAACTAATGCATATGAAGTTGTATGTCTTGATATGTGAGTATCAAATTAAAAAATTAAGAAAATATTTATTAGAATAAAAAGTGAATTAATAAGATTAAAAATAATGTCTTGTATAAATTCAAAGGATCTTTTTAGGAAATTGAAATAGATGATCGTAGCAATTTTGAATTGCTTGCACTAGAGAAATACAATATACTTTTATTAATCACAAAAAAAAACAGAAGAAACGAAACGTATAGTACAATATCAATAATATTGTTTAGTAATTACGAAATCACGATAATAGAATTTATCGCATGAGAAAAATTCAATAGTTACAGTTCAACACATTCATGTTATGAATTAGAATAGATTCCTGTCGAATAAACGGAATTTTTCGGGATTCGAGAATGTCTCATGGGACTCTAGATTAGAGATGTATGAACTAAGATTTTTTTAGTTCCTATTTCGTTAAAATTTTTACATGTTTCATGTGGATCAAGACAAGTTCATGAATTTTTAAGTGCAGTATTTTTCATTGTTGGTTTTCTTATAAATAACGATTTAGTATATTGAGGATGATAGAAATTACACGATTTTATAAATATAAAATGAATTCTAAAAAACTCGATA